CCCTTCCATTCAAATCATACATGCTGCAGACAAAGTTAAGTACAACTTCCACGAGACTATGCCATACTGAATCTAGAACTGAATTTGACTGACCCAAACAATCTTTTATCCTTGGAATATTTTAGACAAAATAGAAGAAATTCCAAAGCTCAAAGCAAAAAATGGATAAAATATTAGTAACTTCAGATCTGCAGATGATACAGTTCTAATTGCGGATTCAGAAGACCTCCAAAATGCTTCTTGAAGAAAGTGATGTGAGGAAAAAGAATTCTTGTCAATACAGTCGTCTCCGCCCAAACGCACGGTGCTCGGGAGGGCTCCTTAGCGTGTGTTTACACGGAGCGTGCATTTACATGAACCTTTGCAAAAGGAGGAAGGGACGCAGTCATCTCATTGCCTTGATATTCTAGTGACCTCCCTTTGGGGTGGGGGTCACTTTGGGCCGACAATTCGACGACACGTGACTGTTTAGTGAATGATTTCCCGACTGCGGTTAAGAATACAAAGGCGTTCCAAACGGCATTCGTTTGGGGGGGGGGGGGGGGGGGGGGGACTCAATGTATTGATAAGCACCATAAAATTTCGGGAACAGACAGCATAAGAGGAAACAGTTGGTGATAGTCATAGAGTCGGCGGCCCAGCCACGTGACTTTCCAAGCGACCATCCGCGACCGTAAATTCAAGGACGAGCATTCACGAGTTTCGCATAAATAGGCCTAGGTTTAACTAAACATTACATGCAGTCACCCAAACACCAGTCAGAAACCCAGTGACCAATCAAATAACATTTCAGTCACTCAACCCCCAAACATTGCACCGACCAGTCCTAGACCTATGTACTCTCTGTGGAAAGTTGGGTGTGAAAACGCTGTCCATCACTCACTTTGTTCGGCGTGAGGGGCAGTCTCACCAAATATCATGCTGTTTAGGCTTATTTTATGCAAGCTGTGCAGATTTCCCTTTGTTCAGCTTAACCTGTCAGCGCGTTTCGCAGATTGGAGCGTGCGTTTAGAGGGAGTGACTGCATTTGTACGCCTAAGTTATGTAGTAAAAAACCTGTCAGATGACGAAAGCGTGCGTTTGAGTGGAGCGTGCTTTTGTATGACGTGCATTTAGGCGGAGACTACTGTACATGTATCTTTTAAAAAAAGTAAATTCTGGAATTCTTATAAGCAAAAGTGTGATGATCAAACCAGTACAAAAATTAAAATGTCAAGGATATGAATAATTTATTACAAAGTTATCATGGTAGTCCATGATTTATCCTACGAGTGAATTGCCAAGTTGTAATCACGAGTTTCAACGAGTGATTACAACTGGCAATTTCACAAGTAGGATAAATCATAGTCTACCACCATAATGACTACAATAAATTTTTCATACCATACTGATCAGCTGGCGAAATAGATCTGAACCAACAAAATTCAAATGACCAGCCAATTGGACAAGAGGATCCATTTAAGAGTCTCAGATGAAAACACAATTTTCATGCCCGTCTCAGTCAGAGTGAGGATTGGGAAAAATCTGGATTGTTTTCCCTTGTTTATAGCTGCGCTAATTTACATGTTGTGCTATCAGTATGTCACCCTGCGCGAAATAAACCCGAAATGAAGCAATAATAACGTAAGCACTGACAAAGCAAGCAGAAAACGTATGATTCAAAAGTTAAAAAACCAAGAAACTGCATTTATATGACCTGTTGCTGTGAGAACAGAGATAACTTTGACTTCAAACTTTGCAACCAAAACAAATCAAATGCTGGGAGTCGTTTGCTAGATCTAGGCTAGCTAGCATTGGCCTAGACTTGCTAGCATTGCAATAAACTACATCGCCGCACTCTGACGTAATCCCGGTTCACTATGGTGCCCACCCTTTGACTCAATTGGAACAAAATTAAGGGCAATGTAAATAGTTATGCCACTCTCTACTATAGGGACAGTGGGAGACTAGGGTTTGCAAAGAGGTTCTGTTTATAACCTCTTTGGGTGCTTGGCACTTCATTAGGGAATCTTTGGTGAGCGGGCTTTGCAGCGAAGTGTTTACAGAGGAAAGAAAACAGCTGCCATAATATTTCACGGTCTAGGAATATTATGATTCAAGTCTACACTTTGCTTACAAAAAGTTAAAAAGGTCAATATAGTGTACGCAGTAATTTTTATATTTCACGTGTGAGATATCAGCTTAGCCTATATTTCATGTGTGAAATATAAGGATTTATTTTACTGAAAGTGCAATGCTAAAACAACTCCAAGTATGGTATAAAACAAATTTAAATATAAGATAGCAAGTAGAGGAAATATACCACAAAAATAAATGAAAGAACTACAACAACTTAAGCCAATTTCAATACAATGAGTCCAATCCTAAGGTACAGAAACATCCCAAATGACAACAAAAATAAGGGGTTTGAAAAATTGTACGAGGTAAGAGCTGCTACATGAGACTGAATGCTGGATAACTACTTCTAAGAGTGAAAATAAATTACGGGGAGCGGGTATGTAGTTTCATAGAAGAGAGAGAGAGAGAGAGAGAGAGAGAGAGAGAGAGAGAGAGATAGAGAGAGAGAGAGAGAACACGAGAGGGAGAAGAAGACAAGAGAGAGAGAGAGGTAGCAGGAGACGAAGAGGGAAGAGAGAGAGAGAGAGAGAGAGAG